GCACTAGATTGAGATTCAACAAGGCCTATCATCCATAGATAGACAACTAGACTAAGAAAACCATTCATACATTAGAGGATATGTTGTGAGCTTGTGTACTAAAGTTGAGAGGTAGCTAGGATACACATCTACCATCTGCAGAGTTTGCCTATAACAATAGTTTTTATTCTAATATTAGAATGGCTCTATATGAGGCATTATATGGAAGAAACTATTGATTGCCTTTGTGTTGGATAGAATTAGGTGAGAAAAGCTTATTGCGTTTGGATTTAGTAGATCAAGCCACTAAGTAGATTCAATTGATTAAGTAAAAGTTGTTGATAGCCTAAGGTTAACAGAAGAGCTACACAGATTGGCATAGGAGACCATTGGAATTCTTAGTGGGTGACCATGTTTTCCTTAGGGTCACACTGTTGACTGGTATTAAGAAATCAATAAAAGATAAGAAAGTAAACTCCTAGGTTTATTGGTACCTTTAAGATTATAGAGAAGTTGGGACCTGCAGCTTTATCAAATTGCCTTGCCAATGTGTTTATCGAGTGTTCATGATGTGTTTCTTGTGAGTCAGTTCAAGAAGTATCAACCAGATCCTTCTCATGTTATTAAGCCATAAGATGTAGAACTTTAGGAAAACTTGACCTATCTAACTGAATTAGGGCGGATTGTGGCAGTGCAAGATCGATAGTTGAGGAATAAGACTATCCATTTGGTATGTAATTGTATGAGATCTCAGAGGTATGTAATTGTCTGAGATCGAGAACAAAATGAGGCAATTGTATCTCAATTCGAAACCAAATGTCATTAGCCACTTTTTGGGCCTTGACCAAGTTCAAATGGACAAAATACACCTAATTATCCATACATAAGCACAATATAACACACATACACAAATTTGGCTTATAATTTGCTCATTTTACACTTTGGACTAAAACCTCATTTTCACATTTCTAGTAATATATATAGCCAAATCACTCCGTTTAATCTCCACCCATTTCATTTACACACATAATTACATTTATTCACTAGCCTTTCCAGTCATCTTCTCATTCACACACATACAAGGTTAGGGAGTTCAAAATCACAAAAGCATACCATAATCATAACTAATGCACATGTACAAATCCTATGGCAACTTATACATACTTTTGATTCAAAATTCACAAATCATTACACCATTTCTTACAAAGATTTAGGCAAGAGATGTCAGCTTAGCCTATATCCTTTCCCTTTGACCCACTAGTACCAGAACTTGAAAATGTAAATAACCACGGGTGAGATAAAAATCTAAGTAACCAGATATAGCTCATTAAATGTCTATTACCATAGATAACCATGTTAAAGCAGTTGAAAACCTTATGTACCATATATATATATATACAACATATCAGTACTAAATTATCTTTTTCGCATATGAATCACATTTCAAACACTTTTACACCACAGCATGATCAACTATCCACCAATCCTCCAAAGCTCTAAAGCTCCTCGACGTGAAACCATAGGCTCTTCTGAATCAACCACTTGTTGACCTGAGCTCACTTTTAGTGGTAGAAACACCTAACCAAAGGTAATCTAACCCTCCTATAGACTATAGTTTCCCTCTTCACACACTTGCGATAGAGGTGTTGTTGACTCTTAACCGTACCCTAACAGGCACTAGGGAGTTACCAGACTGCTTGGATGTCCCATAGAGATTCTCTCTTTAGCATTTGTGAGATATAGTATTGGAGTAATGATACTCTGATCATGTGTGTGATAGGGGGAACCATAGATTTGAAGTAGGACATAATACCTTTAGCTAAGTGATTCTACAACTAAAGCTATGTTCGGATCAATGTGTGCATGATTAGTCTAGTGGAGCCTATGGTTTCATTCAGGGTGATATAAGGGTTCAAATTGATAAGATGATCATGCGTGTGGAAATGGTTTTATAGAAATGGATATATATAGATATATACATTAGTTATGAAAACAGAGATAATAATAAGAATAATAATGTTTTATGTACTTATCTATAATTATTCTTGTTAATAGATAGATGTGAAATATTTTAGTTACTAAGACTCTATCTCACCCGATGGATACTATTTTATAGGTCTAAACAGTAAGAGGAGTAAGGGGAAAGATTCAAGACAAGCATAGTGGTACTATTGCCATACTATCTTGGAGTTGTGTTATGGATTTGATGTATTGTAAATATTTAATGATATAAGTTTTCATAAAAATGCATTAGCGTATATTGTTTCACTTGTATAAATATTATATGTGTATCTTAGTTGTGTGATGTGGAAACATGTATAATAATGTGAAATGTAATATAAAGGGCTAAGATATTAGTACAAGTATATGATTGTGTGTTTGAAATGTTTGAATGTGTATGGATGTATTTTTATTGATATGAATGGTCAATTAGGTAATAAATGTCCCATTTGATATGATCAAGGCCTTGAACATGGCTAATGATGCATGGTTTGGGTTTAGGATGCTCGGGTAAGTGAAAAGGACATAAAGTGATTATTTTGCATTCAAGTGTCAAATTTTCAAATGAGATGTCAGATTGAAATGAAACTTTAGTCACTAGTTAGATTATCAAATAAGATTTATGTGGATACTTGAATTACTCCAATCAAACATTATATGGGAAAATGGCACACACTGAAAATTTGCATATGTCGAACTATCATGATAACAAAAACTATCATATGTGCCGTGGCACATGGTGCACAAGCCACAGTGCATGGCACAAAGCATGGGCTTGTTCTTCTACACCACAGGCCACTATGCAGGTGTCACAGCTATAGCATATGGCCCAATTTAACTAAAATTACTACTTTACCCCTATTTTCTCAATTATGGTATTTATGCATCTGAACACTTCCATTGTGCATTAATACATACTTTTAGATGGTTTAAAAGATTTTTCAAAGGTTTTTGGAATCCCAACTACTTTGAAACAATTTATTTATATATTTTTGATATATAAGATTTTTGGTATAATATGATAATGTTAGAGAGGATATTACACTTGCTCAACCGGAAGAGGACTTCATGATGAGGTAGTGCATTTCGAACATTCAAGGACCAAAATAACACAAAATAAAGTTCAAGGTACCCATAGACCTTAAAAATATAATTCAGGTGTAAAAATAACCATTAATCTTTTGTTTATACTATTGCTAGGAAAAAACACTAAAGTGTGTCAGTTATATGTATCCTCCATGCATGCTCATGAATCATGATGAAGCTCTTTGTTTTCAAGTCCCAGTATATAGTAGTAGCGATGCTCTTCACTGGTTTGGATTCCAACGGAGATTGAGGCTGATCACACTGCACGAAGGGGTAACTGATAAGTACATATCTTGGGGGTAAATTATGCGTCTACTCATCCAGCAACTAATTAATTAAATTTCCCCTCTACATACATCCATCATCCTTACATTTATGTTTCGTTTATATATACATATATATTGCCTTCTTCCTTTTGTTTCCATCCCCAGAATTTTATTCTTCTTTTTCACAGTTTCTCTTCTTTATATCTCTCTTTGCTTTATTCTCTATAGCATGATGATGATGGGGAGTCGGAGTCAGAGTCACAGTTAGCCATATCCTTTGCCTGAAACCCTAGCCATTGAACAAACACTAAGCGTGCAATGTTTTTTTACTTAACGTTTAATTTTTTTGTGTATGTAATACACCATTTTGGTATATAGATATCTTCTTCTGCAGATTATGACTTCTACGACTAGCAGTGTGGAATGGGATTGAAGATGGCTTTGATTCTAACCCTGTTTATGTCGTCTGCAACAAAGGAGAAAGTGGGAAGGAAGTGAAGGAAGAGAGAGAAGTGGCAGCATCAAGTTGTTTTCAAGGAGGGCTATTTCTCAGTACTTGTTTATGCCCATAACAAGGCTGCCAAGGAGCTTAATGTGGGCATTTCACTTGTGAAGAAGAGGTGCAGAGAATTGGGAATAAGAAGGTGGCCTCACCTGCAAACTTTGATAAACAATGCATTATCAGATTCTCATCATGTGAAATTACTCTAATTAAAACACAATTGATTTGGATGTTGATATAGGAGCTAGGAAAAGAAGGAAAACTGAGGAATGCCCTAGAGATATTGGAGAAGGAGAAGAAGCTCGGTGCAAGATTTGCAGCTTGAGGATAGCACAAAAAGGCTCAGACAGGCTTGATTCAAAGCCAACTACAAGAAGAGGAAGCTCATGGGGTCTGCAAGGAATGAATATAATTGACCATCAAGTACAGGACATAAAGCATCTGTTCCCACCAGTCTCTCTCCATTTTACTACATCAATACTCTTGCCATCACCTTCGTCGTGGTCGTCTTCTCCATTTACAACATATATGTTGGTGACAGTATGATTTTGGTTTATGTCTGTCTGATAAAACAAAGGTAACCAACAGTCAGTGATTGATTTTGTTTCGACTAGTAGTGCACAAATGAAGGATGTATGTTGGAGACTAGATTAGAATGAAACCTGCACAAATGGTGCGAGGCATGAAGGGATTTGGCAGATTAGCAAAAGAACATGGCAAAAGTCACAATTTCACAATTTGACAGGGAAAAAGACCTAATTTCATTAAATTTACACTTGTTCATAAAAATAGATGCTCAAAATTAGATTATTTATGCCTCTTTGAAATTGAAAGAATTTAAAAAAAAAAACAAATTAAGGCATCCAATCTAGGCATTGACATTACATTGCTTGATTCTTGGGTTGTTTATCAAGTGGCGACCGCGAGAGAAGCAAGCCAAAGAAATTGCAGAAGATAAACCCTAGCAACGAATTAGAGAGGAGAGGATTTTGGCTGAAACATTAATAGCCTATTTGATCAACAAATGGGATGTAATCATGCCTGATGTAACGCTGCCATCAATAAGCAAGTAATTTATACTTTTTATCAAGCAAGACTTGTTTGATGATTAGTTGTGTATATCACTCACCACCAACAATAATTCAAGCCCAACAAGACCTGCTAAATTGGCGAAAAGGAATTATTTCTCAAAATCTGACGAGAATGTCAGTGTTCTTTAAAATTCTACATGACAGCACTAGTGATGTACTGAGATATCTCACCAAACTTGAGAGCTCAACAAAAGACAACAAAATTGGAAACTCCATTTCTACAAAAATGGAAGCCGAATGATTGATGCTACAACAAATGTTCATAAATCTAGTACGAAGTGCTTATTCTTTAATAAATCTTCTTTCTTCAAAGGACGCTTAGGCAGTAACTGCTTGTTTTGAAGCAAAATCTATTCCCTTCTCGATACTAGCCTTAAGTTCTGGTTTAAGTGCTTCCACTGCCTTCTGCTCATACTCAGTCAACCCTTGGAGGTCAGATGTTATGAAAGCTTCCACTCCTTTCTTTCCCAGCTTTACCCTTGAAGCAAAGAATGGGAGCTCAGTCACTTCTGATTGCACATAAGTGCACTCATACACATCCCCATCTCCATCAAGTGCACGAAGAGATGATTCCACAAATCTAGCTGCTGCATACGCCATTGACAAAGTGGCAGACCCTGCACCTGCCTTAGCTTCAACAACTTCCGTTCCAGCATTCTGAATCCTGACAGTTAACTGTACGATTTCTTCATCAGTAAAACTTACAGTAGGTTTGGTCTTTGACAACAGAGGAAGAATGGTGATCCCCGCATGACCCCCCACAACTGGGACGTCAACATCAATCAACTTCAGGTTCTTCTTCTGAGCAACAAATGTGTTCGCCCTCACAACATCCAAGGTAGTAACACCAAAGAGCTTCTTAGGATCATAGACGCCCTTCTGTTTCAAAACTTCAGCAGCAATAGGCACGGTAGAATTTACTGGGTTACTGATAATATGAATAAAAGCATCAGGGCAGTTATCTGCAACAGCAGAAACTAAGTCTCTCACAATGCCAGCATTAATGTTGAAAAGGTCATCACGAGTCATGCCAGGTTTTCTTGGAACTCCAGCAGGGATGACAACTACATCTACACCTTTCAAAGCGTTTGCTAACTCAAAAGCTCCAGTGAAATCCTTAGCTTGTGAGGGAGTATTGCAATGACTGAGATCAGCCGCAACTCCCTTGACATTGGCAATATCATACAGATGAAGGTCAGAAACTAATGGGGACATCTTGATCAGAAGAGCTAAAGGTTGACCAATTCCTCCAGCGGCACCAAGAACTGCCACTTTGTAGAAAGCTTGGGGCTGCAAGTGATATCGGAGGTTTTCGTTTGGCTTTTGAGCTTTGAGTACAAAAGATGCCCTCAAAGCAGCACAAGTTTCCTTGCCCAAGAAGGATGTTTCTGCCTCACAGCTAATGATGGATGCTGCCTTGAGACCGCTGAAGTTCTTCAGAGAATTCTGAGACTTTAACCTTAAATCAAAGGGTTTTGATTGGGGAAGCGAGCTCCCTCGATGGCTGAGGGAGGTGGCTGATCCAATTGTAAAGGTTGTTGCTGATGCTGCAGCCATCTCAATGTCTGTAGTACACATAGTATTAACTCCACAGGCGAACCTATATTACACTCAGCTGAAATCTTTGAAATTTGCATAGTTGATATAATACCCTTTTAATTTTTGTTCCAGATACTTTTACACAGCTCGAGCCAAGTCATTTACAAGATCATACATCACCAATACCTTGAGAACTTCCAAAATTGATGCTAAAATAAAAAGAACGCCAATACGCAACAAATCCAACATCGCAAAACAACAATATCCAAACCATACAAGCCGCTACTAATCAAAGTGAAGAGGGAAGAAGTAAAACAGCCTATTACACACCATGCGAGCAAAACCCAGTACCCCGAAAAAAAAAAAAAAACCTCAATATTGTAAATATTCCCAAATTCAAAGGCGCCAATATTCAACGATTACACAACCAGATTCAAAGCCAAATCAAAATGAAAAATTTAAAACAAAGCAAGAACAGCCACGCAGGGAACAGATGATGCGGGGAACAAATTCAAATATAAATTCAAAAACAGATTGAAACAAATCAATCTCACCAGATTTTGGGAGTAGAAAAAGCCCTAGGGTTCGAACTTTCTTCACTGCTTGCCCGAGAACAAGCACCCAGGGCTGACAACGGTGGACGGCGTCCGGCAGAGTATGGGATGCTTGTTCGTCGACGAAGAGAACTGGATCCACTACTGCCAAGAATGGGTTTTATCGGGCGATAAATTAGGGGAAGAGGGTTTTATTTTAACGATGCAAATGTGAACCCCCTTCAGGCTTGGAAACTCCGCCTATGAGCTTCGTACCTGTTTCCTTCAAATGCAAAGCTAACACTGCTTATAATGGAATCTGTTGTTTGTCCCCAGAATCTGCCCAATAAATTATCTTACCTCCGCCAATTAAATCTTGACCCTTCGCTTCTTCAATGGCTCTGATGTGTAATTAAATTCTCACCTTCTTTATCTATTCTATGTCGATGATGTTTTGGTGATACTGATATTAGTATTAGGAAAAATTTCAGTCAGGAACCTTAATTGAATTTAATAAAAAAAAACCTCAACTTTTTTAAAACTACACTAAAGGACATGTAAAGAATTTTTGTTGAATTTGTAACGAAAATGACAAAGTTGTTTTTATTTAAATAAACAACATAAACAAATTATTCATTACCATATTGTATATTGTTCATTTATTTATAAAATGCTTGTTTTTTTACTTCACAAGTGACGTAGAGACACGAATAACATTTTGTAAGAAAATAAACGATATACAGTACGGGAATAAATAAGTCATTTTATCATGAAACCAATATGAAATAAAATCAAGTAAAACTAAAGTTATAAACAAGTGAAGTAAGGGAACAAACAATATTTCGTAAGTAAATAAATACCATACAGTATGAAAATGAATAAGTCATTTATATTATTTATTTAAATGATAATAATTTTATCATTTTCGTCACAAATTCAACAAAAATTATGCTCAGGTCCTTCAATGAAGTTTCAAAAAATTTAAAATTCTCTCTTTCATTAAGTTTGCTCAAGGGTCCCTCATTGAAATTTTCCCTTAATATTAACATTCATTTACATTGCTGGCAAAAGAAAAAAACAAAAAAAATAATATTCAATAACATCGTAAACATAATTTTTTAATTAAATAAACGTCACCTATGCGAGTAACTTTTTCAACCAACAAAAGAGTAAATCATTAATGATTTTATGAAAATGAATAAGTCATTTATATTTTGTAAGTAAATAAATACCATACAGTGTGAAAATAAATAAGTCATTTATATTATTTATTTAAATGATAATAATTTTATTATTTTCGTCACAAATTTAACAAAAATTATGCTCAGGTTCTTCAGTGAAGTTTTAGAAAATTTAAAATTCTCTCTTTCATTAAGTTTGCTTAAGGGTCCCTCATTGAAATTTTTCCTTAATATTAACATTCATTTACATTGCTGGCAAAAGAAAAAAACAAAAAAGTTAATATTCAATAACCTCGTAAATGTAATTTTTTAATTAAATAAACGTCACCTATGCGAGTAACTTTTTCAATCAACAAAAGAGTAAATCATTAATAAAAATGTAATGCTAATGCTTGACCACCTATGATTTGCATTATTTGTGCTGCTACTTCATATGTGAAAGTGAAAAAAAAAACTTGCGAAAGTTGAACTCCGTTTTTTGAACGTTGGCCAAAAAAAAAACTTAGGTTTTTTGGAACCAACCAGAAATGAAGTCTAATCACAGAGTGCCTGTGAACTTTCAATTTGCCAAAAATGCCAGCATCAAATCAAAAGTATCTCATGCTGAAAATTTAGTGGGCGCTTCACGGGCTTTTGCAAAACCACAGATGCAAAATATAGCATTGAATTGCAACCCTGTCCAATCCATGTCGTCGGAAAAGGATTTTTTTTTTAAGTAAAACAATGTCATCTAATTAAGAATCCCTAATCAGTTTTTATATCAATTAAGGACTTTAAAAATCTAAAATTTCACCGCACCTCCTAATAACTATTTAAAAATAAGATTTATAAAAGAAAAAGACTCATTTGAAAATAAACAAGTTGCAAAAATTGATAACACATATTTAATTACACAAGTGCTAGTTCTACATAAACAAGCTACATAAATAAGTATTTATTCAAATTTTGACAAATAAACTTACCTAATTAACAATAATCCATTTAGAATTAACAAGACTAATAGTATATGTTTAATTGTATATATATTGATCCTACATAAATAAATATTCGTTCAAGTTTTCACAAATAATTGTATGTAATTAACAATGACACATTTGAAATTAAAAAATGACTATAACTGCTAGCACATATTTAATTGTATAAGTGTTGATCCTACATAAATGAGTATTTATACGAGTTTTGACAACTAATCATATATAATTTACAACAACCTATTAAATTATTAAACTTTATTGGTAATTATATCTTTTTTCTTAAAAACTTATTTTCAAATAGGTACTAATAGGGGTGTTCAATGTTGTACCCATCACAGTCGACATGTACCTATCTTAATCATGTTGGAACAAGTTTGTCTTGGGCCAAAATTAATCGGGACAAGACATTTGCGGGATGGGACAAAAAAAGGATCAGGACAAGACGTCTCATCTCGTCCCATCTTAATATTATATATATACTCCTTTTGTTTTATTCGTATGTTATTTTTATTGTTTATCTGTTTATATTTTTTGTTTATATACTTTTTATTTACTTTATTAATACATGAATAGTGAACACCCTTGCTCAATCTCATAATTATTGATATTAATTTGAGGAATTAAAAAAGCAAACCCTAATTGCTACCATTCAAGTAATTTAATGAGTTTATTTTTAGAGACTATGCCTGGTTCTTGTTGCCTATTATAATATGAGTTTATAATTTGAATTTTAAATATGAGTTCATAACTATTTTGAGTTTATAGCTTAATTTGAGTTTATAATACAAATATTATAATCTGAGTTTATGGCTAAATTTGAGTTTATGCACATTTGTTGTTTACTTGATATATGTTGTTGCCTATTTCGCTGAAACTTAATTCATAGTATAAAGAAAAAATGAGCACTACACACATGATCTTAGGACAACATTGAAGCAACAGGAGATCTTAAAACTAAAACTATAGCTTCATCACTTGAAGATACAAATAAGGGTGGTTAAAGCATGTATTGAGACATCTCAGTGCCATCTTGACTCCTACAGGGACCGAACAAGACAAGTGATAAAATTTGATTTTCAATCATTTTTCAAGACGAGACATGGGATGAGGGTGTCCCAATCCCATCCTGTCCCTAAACACCCCTAGGTACTAAGGAAATGCAATAAATTTTCATATTTTAAAGGTTTTTCTTTGATATAAAAACTTTTCAAAGGTCCTTAGATGATATTTTTCCTTTTTTATTAGGGTAAAAGAGTAAATTGGCCTCTCAACCATCGGTTCAAAGGCATCTGGAAACCTAAACTCATTTATTGCACAATGTTCTCTTTCAACTTTTGAAAACGTAATCTGACTCATGCTATTAACAAATATTATTTTGACATTAGTTGACTAGAAAATAAAGAAGACCTCAAAAATTACAAAAAGGGATTAATAAATTTTGTAGTCCTTTTTTATAATTTTTGGGTCCTTTGCTATTATTTTCTTGTTCTTTTTTGTAACTTTTAAGTCCTCTTTTATCATTTTTGAATCAACTAACAATCAAAGTTAACTTTTATTAATGGTAGGTATAATGTCCTTCAACAGTAACTATATTAATACCTAAACCTTAAAGCCAATTAATTAATTAAGAAAGATGTTGAAGGAAGATAGGATCAACATTCGTTATTTAAAAACACTGGTGATCTATAATAAATACTTTAGAATAAAGTGGGATCCCAGAAAAAGTTTTAAATTGAAGACAACTATAAAAGGCCCTGTAAAACACTTTTAAATAAGAGAGAGAGGTTTTAAAAGCATAGAAAAATTTTGCTGTCAAATAACACTTCTAATACGAACTTTCGACTTGTACTGTTTTTCACATATAGTGTCTAATTGGGGTGATTCAAGTGCCCATATAAAACTTATTTCAAAATCTAACTAATGATACTAGTTTCTATTTAATCTAATATTTTATTTGAAAATTAGATACTTGAATGCAAAATGATCATTTTAAGTCATTTTCACTTACCCAAGCAACCTAATTTCAAACTAGATATCATTAGCCACTTTTGGGCCTTGATCACATCCAATAGAACAAATGCCACCTGATTGACCATTTATACAAGTACTACGATATATGATACAAGTTTGACCATCAATTTGCCCTTAACACACACTTGGACAAAACCACAGTTTCACACACATAATTATGCACTTGGCCAAACTCCACACACTTTTACATCAAAACATACCAGCATGCACTTGTAATGGTATCGTAGCCTTCATTTTTAATATTAACAATGGCTAGGTTACACAATTTAACACACACAAGCACATCATCACTTTTATGCATATGCAGTCCTACGGCAACTTATATGCAACATATTATTTACATCAAACTAGTTCATTATAGAAGATCCATTAATCTCAACCTAGTTCTTTCCTTTTGTTACTCCCAATGTCAAAACCTATAAAAAATGGTAACTACGGGTGAGATAAACATCTTAGTAACTAAAATAATTCATCAAATGTCCATTATCAAGATTAACTCTAAAGAAGTAATTAAAATCATTTGTTCTTTTTTCTCAAACAATAAACTCACACACATACATGTATAATTACTTATAACGATTTCCACAAAAATTGATAATATGCTTGTATAATCATCTATCCACCAAATCTCTAAACTCCTTGATTAAACTCATAGGCTCTATTGGACTAATCACATAAACATTGATCCAAGTATGCCTTCAATGGTAGAAACACCTCGCCATTCTATCCTACTTCTAGATTATGAATTCCTCCTTTCACACAAACATGATAGGGGTGTCATTGACTCCTAACAGTACTCTTATGAGTACAAGGGAGTCACTAGACTGCCCTGATGTCCTATAGTAACAGTTCTAAATATCTTGTTACATCGGATCTTCTATGGTGCTAGCCTAATCATATGAATATTTTTGTCTTCACACATCTCTACACACTCAAGGTGAACTCCCATCCATTAACATGTTCAAGCCACTTTTACACACATATAGTCATGTTCACAGATATTGGTATAGTAACTTACTTTAAGGAAACATTTTAAAAATCATTTCAATTTATATTTAAATCTTATTTATGCCAAAACTCATTAAAACATGGAATTCAAAATATAATAATGATATCACCCATAAATTACACTAGCATTTACTTATAA